TAAACCCTCACCCCTAAGCCCCTGAACCCTAAACCCCCTAAATCCTAAACCCTAAAACCCTTCAGCCCAAACCCTTCCACCCCAACGGAGATCGATCTTCCAGTGCCAAGGAGCTCACTTCTGTAGTGCCGCGCAGTTCTGCCAAAGGCCGACAGAAGACGCCGCATCGTCCCAACCTCACAGAAACACGAGGCCTTTCAAAAGCTTGCCTTCACCGCCGTCCATGATAGGGTACATACGGATCTGGGTTGCAGTTTTTGGGCCCTTCAAAACTTTTATGAATATGTACCTCTATATAGGGACATCCTAAAACCTAAACCCTAAACCCTGGACCATAAGGGAAATTTAAACCCTAAACCCTAAACCGTTTTAAAGTTTCCCAAAGGGAATAAATCAGATCCTGGAGGTTGCTGCGCTCACGTTCGACTGTGCGATGCTGCACCGGCACTGAGACAGTAGTCGAGGAAGAGGCCGTGAAGGTCCCTACCTAATGTAGGGGCCTACATAGTTACCAATACTGGTTTTGGGGGTTCCTTATTCTAAGTATATTGTAATGGGCCCCAAAACCCTATTCTAATTATTAATTATGAAGGCCCCTACATTAAACCCTAAACCCTTATACTATCCCTTAAAGGAACCCTTAAACAAAGAACCTCAAAACTCTATTCTAATTATTAAGGCCCGAACATTAAACCCTAAACCAGCGCCTGGGCCAAATGTGGCTTCATAGCCTCCTCTATGCACTTTAAGTCTTCAGTGCTCGTGTCTGCTTCCGGCGGCTTGGGCTTAGGGTTTAGAGTTTGTGAGGTGTAGGGTTCAGGGTTTAGCGTTTAAAGCTTAGCTAGACCCCGCAGCTACCCTTTACTGTAGCCGAAAACTACCTCTCAATGAGGAATAAGACATCCCTTCAAAGGGTAGTTGGGGGATCCAGGAAAGGTGTAGGCTTAGGGTTTAGAGTTCAAGGGGTTTTAGTTTAGGGTTTGGGAATTTCGGGTTCGGTTTATATCAGGAGGCAGCTCAACATGGAAAGCTTCCGTCGGCCAGCAACCCCAAGACAAAAACCTCAACTAATCGGCGTGCTCCGGCATCAAGATGGAGGATTCAGGGTCTATAGGAGGGTGGATCGGGAGCCTTGCTACGGTCACCATAACTACGATTTCAAGCACCCCCTCCCATCGGGTTGCTGTACGAACAATCTTACTTAGAACCTACTCATGAAAACCCTGATCCTTCAAACAAGGCTCCTGCGGTTCCGGCTCGATCCCCAAACCCGAAAGCGTGCCTCCTCAGCGAAGGCGACCACGGGCAAGCCTGCAAACAAACACCCTGAAAGCACCCCTGCATTTAGAGAAGCCTTCTGGCGGTCGTCTGGGCTTAAACGTAGTAGCTCTGAGCGGCGCAGTTTGAGTCTTGGGATTTAGGGTGTGGGCTTCAGAACTTCTTAGAGGTGCGCACCTGAGCCCATGAGCCAGTATTCGTGAATACCCTGGGTTTCTGGACCCTAAAACCCTAAACTCCAAACCTAAACTTTAACCCTTGGCCACAATTAGGGCAGGAATTGATATACCCAAATGTTGCGGTTGCAAGATTAATCGGGTTCTCAGGCCTCCAGCGACTAGCGCTCGCCGCAGGGCAGAAAAGGAACCATTCTTGACTGAATCCGCAACCTGAAACACAAAACCCGTGAACCCAATCCCCACTGAAACCCTAAACTCCTAAACCCTATAAAAAACCCTAACACCCGAAACCCCAAAATCTAAACCCAAAAATCCAGAACTCCTGAAACTTGAAGTTACAACCAGCCGGACAAACTTTGACTGTCTCATATGAGAACACACCAGTATGCGTGTAAGCTTGGGAAAGGATTGGCTTTGGGTGTAGAGTTGACAAGATTAGAACTTTTGCAAAGAGAGGTTTAAGGTTAAGGTCGTGAGTTGACAGCTGTATATATATATATATACATACACATACATATATATACTCTCTCTCTCTCTATATATATATATATATAGAGAGAGAGTTTAGGGTTTAGGGTTTTAAATCTCTCTCTATATATGTGTATATATTCAGGTATGCTTCTGTTGTAGGCGTTTACCTAGGAAGTAGTGATGTAGTTTGGCGGGTTTCCCAGGATAGTAGGGTTTGCAATGGACTTGGGCACATATCTGTGCCGATTTAGGCATTGGAGATTGGAGCATTTCTGATCGCAAGTCTGACAAGGAAGCTTCTCAAGACCATGCACCCATCAACTTGTCTGTAGAAAGGGTTCTGGGTTCGACTATCACATTCCGCAAGATATGTAGATGTCGGGCTGCTGCTGCGTAGCCACGGGTTCGATCTTTACAGCTGTGAGGTTTAAGGGTTTTAGCTTAAGGCAAAATGCGCGATCAATGAAGGATTTAGGTAAAACTCCTCCCGACGACAATCTGGTGTGTTTAGAATTAAAGCTTTTACATTCGATTTAGGAATATGAGACCCCTTTACAGGGTACTTGGACCCGGAGGGCGACTGTAGTGAAGAAGAAAATCAGTACTGAGGCGAGATGCGGGGGTTTGCAAGATTGAAGGGACTCTTGGTACTAATTAAAGTGGCCTTAGTAAATGTGCGGAACCTAAAATAAGGAACCCCCAGAGTAGTATCGATAAGCATCTAGGCTCCTAATACTACTACAGGGAAAACAAAAATAAGGAACACCAATATATTATGGGTCAATGTTTAGGCCCCTTTTTTGACTGATCTAGGGGCCTAAATAAGTATTTTGAGGGGCTCCATATTCATTATAGTTCTATTAAAATGAACCTCCAAACTCCATTCTGACTGTTACGGCCCCTACACATGACAGGGTTTCAGCTGAGGAGCTTAACAGTCTGCACGGCCAGAATTTTCCTGCGCAGCCATTCCTGCCTCCAGAAGCAAGTTCACGATGGCCATGTGGCCGCAGCCCGATGCACAGAGAAGTGCCGTTCTTCCGAAGTTGTCCAGCGCATGTACGTCAGCCCTAGCTTCCAGAAGCAACTGGGCAATCTCGGCATGATTTCCCAAAGATGCCTCGATGAGCGAGGTGCGTCCCTGTTCATCCGATGTATCCTTGTCAGCGCCAGCTTCCAGCAACAGTCGAACGCTCTCGGTGTGGCCTGGGTTAGTAACAAGAACCGCCCGGCCGTTCGACAACTTCACTGTTTTGCTCGCCCCCGAAGCAAGGAGAAGGGCTGTGCGGCCGTAGCTGTCCTGGACACTCCCATAAGGGTCCTAAGCCCCTCTATGGGGATACGCTCCCAAACGTGAGAGTAATTCCTATACTCAAAACCCGACATTCTACTATATCGGGACTTGGGACCCTTAGCCTTATAGCTGTCCTGCACACTGGTGTCGGCGCCAACGTCTACCAGCACTCGCACGACGGCGGGGTGGCCATTGGCAGCTGCGGACATCAGGGCTGTCAAGCCACTCTGGCCTTTCACATCCTTACAAGCACCATGACTCAGCAGCAACTGTACTACCTCGCCGTGGCCATGGCTTGATGCACCAATAAGAGCTGCGCGAAGTAAGGCATCAAATAGCTCTGAAGGCTCGGACTCGTCGCAGTTCCTTGCTTCAAGCAGCCTCCGTGCAGTCTCTGCATGGCCGTTTATGCATGCGGAAACCAAAGCCCCGTGTTTAGCCTCTCTATCGGCCCCATCCAGCAGCAACAGTGCAATCGCAGTGTGTCCAAATTCAGCTGCACGAATCAGAGATTCCGACATCGTTGGCATCTCGCGAACTCCGGCATTCAACAGAAACTGTGCCACGCCCACATGGCCTGTCGAAGCCGCAAAATCCTGAGTAGTCCAAATTTCGCCGAGCAGCGAGGGTTAGAATAGAACACACCCATCCCAACTAAGGGACTTCTCGCCTTACACCCAAAGGGTCCTAGGTACTCTTATAGGGGAGGCTTCCCCAAATCATAGTAGAAATTCCCACCCTATATTTCTACTGTGAAGGTACTTTGGATCCTTTGTTGGGACATCCTAAGTCCCCTGATCTAAGTGAGGCTCAAGCAGGGTGCCTCGGTCGTCTGAAGATGCCAAAGCCTCTAGACTCTAAACGGAACCGCTTGCAGAACCCTTAAGCCGCAACCCAAAACCGTAAACCAGAAACCCTGAACCCTAAACCCTGAAACCTAAACCCTGAACCCTGAAACCTGAACCCTAAACCCTAAACCCTAAACTCGTAGTCCTTGCAAGGGAGCTCGAAGTTCGCCGCCGGCTTCGATCTTTGTCTCTTCTGTGAGGGACGCTAGGAGCAGCTGTAGGTCCCACCGCTCCTTCTAGGGCTCCTTAAATTAAAGGGGTCTTTAAGGGTTCTACAAGGGATCTTCTAGGGTTCCTTAAGAGGTGTCTTTAAGGGTTCTATAAGGGATCTTGGATTGGGAAGGATTGGGGCGACTGTGGAGATTCTAGGAATGCAATAAAGAGGCTCAGGGTTTAGGTGTCTAGGGGTCTAGGGATTTAGGTGCTTAGGGTAAGCCCCGCCTCAAGCTGCAAAGGGTCTTCCAATACCTGTCCATCATACACAAGCTTCTGCATGCAGAGCGGGAATCCATGCAGCTCGCGTAGACGAGACTTCAATGTCTTGACATCGCCCAGCTCCTCGGTGCTTACAGCAAGCAGCTCTTCACCCGAAACACCTGCAAACACACGAAGCATGGCGGAAAGGCGACGGAGGGAAAAAGTAGAAGCCGGTGCAAGCTTTTGAGAGCCAGCCAGCCCAAGGTTGACGAGAATCAAAGGACTTTTCAAACTAGGGAATAATTTCCAACACTATACTCCTGTAGTCGCATACAGACTTAGAAGGTTTTCGTGGGTCTCATGATACTTCCGGTAATTGCAGTTGAAACACAGCCCTCAGGGGAGTAAAGAAGCAAACCTTTGAGGATATTGTCCCAGGGGGGTGGGCGCGGTCCCTGGGTCAGTTTTGATATTCCCAGGTTTAGGGCTAACGGCCCCAAACCAAACCCTAAATCCGAAATCTGAACCCCACCCGGAACCCTAAACCCCAAACCCAACCCTATAGACCCTAAACCCTAAAACCCTGAACTCTGAACTCAAATCCAGCCCTGAACCGTATAAACTCCAAACACCACTGCGGAAGACGCAGACCCACCCATCTTCCTTAGGGCATGATCTTGTATCCTACTGAGTCATGTTCTAGGATTTTAATTACTTAGATTAATTAGAGTTTAAGGAGGTTCAGGGTCCTGGGCCCTAAAGTTTACGTTAGGCCCCCAGCCCTGAAGTCCAAATGTTGGTACTAGGGGTTTAGGGTTTAGGGTTTAGGGTTAGGGTCATGCGGAATGAACTTCCATAGACCCCAGACACCAAGACTGTGCGCATCGAGCAGATGGAGCCGCCTGGCGGCAGAGGCGCCAGCAGGTGGAACAGCGGGACGGACCTTCCGAACGGGTCCAGGGTTAAGGGCTTCAAGGTTTAGGAAGTTTAGGATCTCAGGTGCAGGGTTTAGGAAAGGCTCACAAACGACTACTTTACGCAATTTGTAGGGTTTAGGATATACGAAACGATGTCAAAGCAGGCCCCAAAGCCATCGCAAGACAAATCTCTTGGGGTCTAACTCAATCTCTAATCAACAAAATAGATAAATATAAACAAACAAATAAATATACATATATATATATA